CTTCATTTTCTTCCACCAACTGGTGCTATATCAAAGCTGGGATGTTTTCATTCACCTGGCCAAATGTTGCCAGCCAAACCGACTCGTAAGACATTGTAATCATGCTTACTTTAGACTATTCAGCAGGATGAGAATAATAAGTTACTGGTAGTATTTGATATTTGCTCGTCAAGAGATCTGTTTATTTTCCAATTGGCTACTCGGTCCAAAGTAGCAGCTGTTGCTAGGAGCGATCTGAAATTATTACTGGTAATTCATTGATAGATACGACTTTAAAGTTATGATTGTCAACAGTGACTTGCTAGCCAAGCCGCGAATACTCTGACTGATTGTTTGATGAATTTTCATATTTCGCCTTGTCCTCGTCCCTACAAGGCCGCTTCCTTGGCCAGTCTTGGGGAAGCAATGTGTTTGAAAGCTTCTTCAGTATGGCTCGGCTTAGGCAGTAGGGGATGTAGGGGAGTTCAGCGTTAGTGTACACACTCGTAGTAACTTTATCGGAATACGAAATTCAGTATCATAGAGGCAGCTCCTTCTCATGGTTTTTTTTTAAGATTTGACGTGTGTTAAATATTTGGTCTATAGTAGAGCTTGCAGGTCTAAGGCCAAAGTTAATACTTACCTAATAGCTATAATATTTCAACTCATTATATATTGCACAACATTACTACCTCTAAAGTAACTGAATGAGTGTTCAGCTGAAGGAATTGAGGAATGTATAGAACGATGGAGACTGAAGAGCTTGTGAAAATCCGTTGTATGAGCCTAACGGCGCATCGAAATTTCCCATTTGGATTGCTTATAATAACCATAACAACGGTAAAGAATGACTGGTGAACTCATTATGTAGGGTTGATCCAGGTTATTCCAGGTAAATAAAAGCCGAAAATTTAGAATAAATCAAATTAAAGAACTTTTTATTTCCAAAGTCCTGTAAATTGAAATTTATTCAAAAAAAAAAATTCTTTAGTATCCTCAAAAGTTTATTAAGTAAATTTTAAAACATTTAACATATACATATATGTATCTCTACAATTTTATTAAAATTCGATTAAAAATAACATGAGTTATATTCATTTTCAGATAGTTTTTAAAGTAATATTTTCCGCTACAGTACATATGATATATACGTACATATTATATATAATATAATAGCTTCCTTAATTTTTATAAAGTAATTTTTATTCAATAGAATTCTCAAAGGCCTTATATACAATTATTTAAAGCTTTTTTAAAGAGTGAACCCTTTTCTATTAGTTCACCTTGTGGGACCTTGCAATTTAATCTTTCCAATAAATTCTTTAAATTCCGGTATAACACATACAGATACATACACAAAGATATATAACACACAAATATATATTTTTTTTACAGTTAGTACTACTACTTTCTAACATTTTTACCCATACATATTCACTAGGCGTGTGGTATACATACAATACATATAAAATAATCTTCATAAGTATACATTTGTAGATTTTCGCTTGCACTTTTGGGTTTGCTGGGTTTAGCGCTGCCATGATTTTCTCGCTTTAGTGAAAACCAAAAAAAAAAAAACGTCCTATATACATGTGTATAACATCATCCAAGGGAGATAGCCATATATACATACACATAGAAATAACGAGAAGGGTTTGCTTTTGTTGGCTGAAGGAATGAGTTCTATGTTTTGGCAATAAATGGAGTTGGTTAAGGTGCATGGTTGCCAGCAGTGCCATCTATTCCTATTTTATAACAATTGTTTCGAATTTGTCTGAAATTGCGCGTTTTTGCGTTTTTATACATACTCGTACATATGCTACACCGTGCTACAAATTTAAGCAAATTTAAATCAGCCTGGGCTTTGTAAATACATATTTACTGAAAATATACAAACCAAAAGAAAAAAAATCATAATTTATTTCCAGAAATCCTTTCGAATTTAGATCTCCATCCCACATCGAATTGCACGTCAAAGAAAGATTAGGCCACTATTAAAAAATGTGGTTATATACAAAGAGCTGAAAGTTATGTTGTCCAATAACATTCATTCTCGTCGGAGTGATATGGTAAACAACCCTCTAATCCAAATTGTAGAAAGAACTACTGTTAACTCCTAGATCTACAAAAAATTAAAATCTAATCAATTGTCATTCTCGAATAATTCAAATTAAACAATTCAATGGAGGTGTTTAAGTATTGACTTTAAATCTTACCCTGTGCATGACATAATTCATGTCCACTATTCAAAAAAATGATCTAAAATATAGTTAAAGTTCTAAATAAATTATTTGCAAATGATCATGAATAAAAAATGACCGCACTTAATAAGTGTTCTTGGAATGCGAATGGTGTCAACCCAGATAAAACGATTTTCAGCAGAGTGTGCCGTTGATTTTATACTCCTGTCTGAAACGCACTTGGCTGATAAATACAATTTTTATATATCTGAGTTCATAGTTTATCCTACAAACCAGCCCGATGGTAAAGCGCTCAGCGGACAGGGGTACTTCTAAGTAACCGCCTTAAACACTAAATCTAATAGCCATACGCCAGCAGTTATCTATGAGATACTTTTGTATCTTTGAATAATCTATATAATGGCAAGGAAATAAGCCCCTCCATCATTTACTGCACTCCGAGATTTAAAATAGAGAGCGATTCAGTGTTAGGATTTTTTCGATAGCCCAGCATTTAGATTTATAGCTGGGGGAGACATTTATTGAGAGTCTAGACTAAAAACCCAAAAAACGCCAACTTTACAATGTTATCATAAACAAAGACAATATTTTAAACTACATTTCTTCAGCTCAACTAACATATTGGCCTTCTGATCGAAGGAAAACATCCGACTTAATAGACTTCCTGTTTCACGAAACTACCGCCGGCAATTTGTATTTATTACCTGGGACTTTTGCATTCACATCCTGGGGCCACTCATCAGTTGTAATAAAAACACACGAGTAACCTACGATATTGCCCAAGCAGTAAGACTAAAAAGCATAGCAACAAATTGTGGCAAATACGAAAAAAAAATTTAATAGAACTCACATAAACGAACACGCCATTTTTTAGCAGAAAAAATGATATCGATAATCAATGAGTTCCTCTGCGGTAACGTTAGCGCCTCTACAGAGAAAAAGTATTACTATCAGCTCAATAGCAAATACTGAAATAGAGAAATTATACATAAATTCCTTTCGCAAGCATATCGCTCTTCTGCCTTAAAGTTTCGATTAAAATCAGCAGAGAAAAAACTGAAAAGTCCAACAAAACAAGGTGAAGACTGTAATGTTCAATCATATATTGAATAATAATAATTGATGCCAAATTCTACCAAAAAAATATTCACTCCGGAATTCTCATAAGGTCTTCAAGCCTCTTGTTGATGTGAGCACATTAATCAGAAACAAAAATGAGATTGGGATGCATAGTAGCGAAGAAAAGGCAAATTATTTTGCAAAACATTTAAGAAAGGGGTTCCAGCCAAATGATGTAACTAAGAATTTTATATTGCAGGAATTAAACGAGATTGGTCAGGAAACTCAGGTGACGATTAAAACATAAAAGTTGTTACTACTAAGCAATTGAATCCAAAGAAATCTCCATGCTATGATTTTGTAACACAAAAAGTGCTGCCAAGAGTTGCACTAGCATTGCTCTCGGTACATCCTCTTTGTAATCGTGTAAGCGGTGCCAATAACAATAAAGTAGAGAGAGAAATTCATCTTCCATTTCATGTAAGTAACTAGTATGTTCTATGTACTGTCGATTCTCAGTATATGCATCAGCTACTACTAGTTTAATACCAGTTCATATGTGTATAACAGTTAAAATACTAGTTCCTTCATATCTGTTAAGAACTAGTTCGCCTCAGATCAGTTTGTGACGCACTAGTTAAAATTAAAAAAGGTCAAAGAATTTTTACAATAGAACAAAATATAAAAAAAACAAAGTAATGTATGGTTGTTATTGTTATAACAGCAAGTCTAAAAATGTATGGTCTGAACATCTAGTAACTTAGGAGCCCTGTTTTTTTTTTTTGCAAAACGACAAACTGTTATAAATTTCTCCGCAAAATGCAATTTCGTATACAAGAATTCGCGCAAACTATGATAGTTCAGATTTTACCAAAAAAAAAATCTAGTATATTTCTGGTAAACAACAAACTTTTATGATTTCGCCTTCAAAGTCTAGTACTAAGCTAGAATTTTTGCAGACTAGCCTACCTTTTTCCTGTAGGGTCATTCTGAATTTATCTTACCTTCCAGATGCACAGAAAAAGTCGTAACTATTAAATTGAACCTGCCCTTATTTTGGATCAAAAAATCGATTTTTTTTTTGCGCAAAATATTAAAGTCATATATTTGTAGAGTATGTGCTTAAAATGATTTTGCAGCATGATAAATATTTTTCAAATGACAGCTTCTCGAACACACCTGTCTCACGCACGCAGCGCACTTTTAAAAAACTTTGAACACGTTTTTTTCAAAACCATGTTTTCCAATCTTATTTCAAGCCCCGGGCTTGATCTAACCGTCCGATTTCTTTTATCTAAAAACTGTTTCAAAGTATATAGTTTTTTGTACGTCTTGAACCTAATATTAGCATTAGTAATAAATTTTTTATATTTTTGAAAAAAAGCAATAAATTTAAAGTTAAAATTAATTATAGTTAAAATTGTTTCAATTGATGTTCAGGACGTAGAAAATTTCATGATCTTGAAGTAATGACAACAATTTTTTATTTCAGCCCACTACATGAGGCTGTAAGCTTGAAGTTGTTGGTTCCATGTTTTTCGCACAGAGACCGATGGAAAGCGCCATTTTGTAGCCAACATTTTTAACTTCGACTATTTTTCGCCGCTTTAAAATCTCAAATAATAAAAAAAATTAAATAGACAAAAGCGGAAGTTTGTACACCTTTCCATTCTTCCACAAAAAAAATTACCAACTTTGCCCTATTTTTGCCCAATATCATTGGAGGGTCCCCTAATGTTATCCAAACCCGGTAAAGGTCACACACATACGTCTAAAACAGGATGCCAACGTAGTTATAGAGACATTTGCGACGCATGACTCTTAATTGTGGGGTATGAACTGTGCAACTAATATAGAGAAAATACTGAGGCTCCCGTCCAAAACTTAAAGGGTTATATCGGGCGCACCCTGGTGCATTTCTAACATGAACAGACATTGGTATTCTAGTGGTTTAGCATAAGAAATAAACGAAATTTGACTGAGCGTATTTTATACGATTTAGTCTTTTATTTTTAAAAAGAGACTTAGGGTTATAAACAAGGGATGTTGCATATTTATGGATAACATCTTTACTTCTATCTTCCGGGGATCTTTATGCACTTCGCAAAGGACATTGTCTACAAAAAGCCAAACTAAGAGAATATTTTTTCTACAGCAGCTTAACCCTTTAGTGCATACCAGTGAAGCTTTTATGTATTTTTCTCCAATTTTTTTTTTCTTTTAATTGTAGCTTTAACTTTTCCTTTCACACAGATATTTACTCAATCATTTTTTGCATGTTTTTTTTTTTTTAAATAACTTACATCAAAACATAAAACTTTGGGTGACCGTAAAAAGAAATCCAGCTAATTTTGAATATGTATTGAGAGTTTTGCTATTGGAAATATTAATAAAATTCGAACTGATTTCGGTTGCTGTACAGTGTTATCCGCTTCGCAGCTCTTTTGTCATTTTTTCTACTCTTCTCTCTTCCGTTTCCGCTACTTATTTAGTGTTCTTTCCTTCGCCATTCATAATGTTGTACCGTAACGCATTCGCTTGTACATTGCAAATAGTTTTGGTTACGTTGTTGCAACTTGAATTCCATTTCAAGTAAATATTATATGTATGTATCTGTATGGTTTCATTGTATGTGTACCCATAAATGCTGGCAATTTGTTATAAAAACACGCCATTTTTAGGAAGTGTAGCGCTGTGCGTGCTATGCCACGTTATGCTGTTATGTAGTATTCACGTTTCTTGTGGCACTTCTCCCAAGCGATGTAACATAGCGCTATTGTTATTAGAACAATTATGGTGACGCCCATGCCGATGCTCACCCAAATGATTTCATCGTTAATGCTTTTATACGAGTGACCTGTAAGTGGAATCAAAGTTGAAAAAATTGTTTTCGCTCGTAAATTTTTTGATTTGATATTTAAAGCCTTAAAAGTAATTTAAATAAATGATCTAATTTACAAAAAATTTCAATTATTTTTTAAAGCAGTCGCCACTCGCCGCAGCGTTGAGCAACGAAATAGCGGAAGAGATCACCAAAATTGTCATCTGTCTTCCTAGCGAGTCTGTATAGTAAAAGGAGTCGCTAAAAATCATCTATAATGAAATTTCCGGAGGAGCGGATTGCCAGATAAGGCTGAGATGGAACGTATTAGATATATAGAAAATAACCAAGCAGTTAAGGACATGACACACATTTCATTTCTTGCTTACACAGTCACATAAGCAATACAATACAGTTGTTGGCCTAATGAGGGGCCACAACCTACTGACATCGCATTCCAGTAGGAGTGACACATGCGGGAAATACAGATAGGAAGGCATGAGTGAGACGTTATAGCACCTCTGTTTCTGTCTGGCACTTACGAGTAGCTCAAAGGGCTAGATGAGGCTTCACAATTGGAAATTAAGGCTCTCTTGAGCTCTGCGAAAAGCGTTGACGTTTTAAATGACGAATATTTTAAGTTGCAATAAAACGGACCTCCAGCTGGCACAACAAAGGAGCAACGAATCTATGTAGACAACTAGTCCAGCCTAACATACATTTACGAAATAATGTTAGTTAAACGAGTATGCTAGAACATGCCTTTTTTAAAATATGGTAGGTGTTACGCCTTTACTCTCGACCAACTCTGCATTTCAAAGCACCAGCACCTTACATTCGACAACTCAAAGACAACTCACTCAGTAGACCGTGGATTTAAAAAAAAGGTATCTATAGACTTGTTGACAAGTTTTCTTTCTCAAAATTATTAAAATTATAATAAACCTGCGAGTGGTTGTTAGAGCATAGGTTACCAAACATGCTACAAAAACACACTTTGTTCGTATATTTTCTGCTATAGCCGGTTCCAAGCCCGAGTATACAAAGGAGGAGGTTTGGAAAGGCACTCCGATCGACTTCTAGTGTGCTTCTCGGGAAGTAAATAGAAAGATGACAGCAAGAAGTCCCTATGAAAAGCCGTCGACCTTGACAGTAAAGTCAGGCTGCTAACCAAACACCATAAAATAAGGAAATAAAGCTGGATATGTTCCATGGGGTACCCACGAAAGTGTAAATCCACCGCGGTAAGAGGGTCCGTACTTCTGAGGAAGCTAAGCCCAAAAAATAATAGAAAACTCACTTCTCCCGCAAAAACTGCAAGAGACAGACAATAATGGGCAGTGTAAGTCCGTTCTTTCAAACACGCCAACGTAAATGTTAGTAAACCCGGAGGGAGCAAGTCATTTGAGTTGCAGACCTTTCTGGAGATTTCATTTAGCGACGGCCTTAAGTATATCATCTGGACGTCATCTTCAGACAAGTCTGCTTTTCAGATCGACACTGCTCAATTCGAAAAGAGGGTATTTAGCTTGGCTATCAACTCTGTAGAAGATGTCGTAGCCGACCGAACAATGGTAGCTTATGGGACAACTGCAAGCAATGACAAAACAGAGAGTTGAAGACGAATTTGTATATTCCACAGCTGCATTCCAATATCGTGTTGGGTATCGACCACCATTCCTTGGTATTTTTTTAATCCGTGAATAATTAAGCCCACCTTCATTTTTCTATCATTCACTTTGGAACTGGACTGGCTACCGAACATCCGCCGGAGGTAGATACTCTTGAAAGTGGCCGCCCTAAGGTGGGTGGTGAAGGAGAGCAGACGAGAATGGCTCCGGTACTGACAGTCTATTGCTTCTGGGCGAGCCGTCGGCAACGGCAAAGGATCGGTACGGCTGCTTTCCATCCACGTTATTTTGGTAGGGGTACCTCGGTGACACCAAGATTGCAAAAACAGATGATGGGTAGTGCTTTGTCGAAGAGCGAGCCCTGTATCGCCACTGGCGAGGCTGTCACCATCGACTTTCTCAGACCATTCAACGCCTTTAAATGTTGTACAAAACAGTGAACCAAAGAGAAATACTTTGAACTCTTCCAATGTAGTACGGACCACTAAATTATTGGAAGCAGCGTGAATAGTAGACAGACCAAACTGTTATTTTCATTAAAAAAAAAACTGTTATTTTCATTAAACAAGAAGAATTATCACCACGAGGTAGGCAAAGTAGAATCGGCGGAGTGCTGATCATACACAGAGGATGACGAAACGCTGGAGTACTAGTTTTGAGAGTATTCAGCCTTTATATGATTGAAACGTCTCATCTTCCACGATATTCGCAGCTCAACCCGCAAGGAGGTGGGTAAGTATGTTTGGAAGGAGCTTAAAGAATTTATAAAATCACGCGAACTTTTCGGGAGAGCCAAGTTGGAATACATGGGGTATTGTGAAGCTTTCTTAATGGCTTAGGTGTTCCCACAAACGCTGAGGACATTAACCCACCTCTTTCAGCCAACCAACCAACCAAGCTATTAATTAAAAGTAAAGAGCGCTGCAGGAAATCGCTTTGCAAAATGAATTAGTTATTTGAAATGAATTAAGTTGTGCTACCCACTTAAGCTTCTCTCTAAAACATACAAGTTTATGTGCATACTTACTGCTGTAGTAACTGTTGTCGGAATAGCCGTATTTGCCGGCTGTGCGCCCACCACCAGCCATTTTCGGTGAAATTTTCGTGCAGGCAAAATGAAGTTAGCCAAAGGTGATTTGTGTTGTTGCGATTTTACCAATTACTTTTTCAGATCAGCTTACTTGGTTTACTGAGTTTCCATAGAGTTTTCGCTGACGTCCTTATTAAAATGTACTTAGGCTTATCCTTGGAATATAGTAAAATAAAAGAAATTGTTTATATCGCTTGTAGATGTTTATGAAGCCAGATATAAGACCAAAATATGTTTTCAATTATTAGTTAAAAAAAATATTTACTATAAATTACCGTAAGAGAACCAAGAATTGTAAATTTTTTGTAGATTATTTTCTTCAACGTAATAACAGCGGTTAATATTTTCAGTTACCTCAGCATTTCTATAAGTGAATCTATCTATTAGTTGTAGTAGTTAAATTCTCAGATAGAAACTGTAGTTCTTTATTCGATCATAAATATACGAAATAATATTTTTGTTTATACCAATGCCAAATATTACTGAAGAGGAAATGGCGCTGGCTAATTGAGTCTTTGCTTTATGGTAAGAATGCAATTCTCAAACCATCAACGAAGGGCTACGGCTAAAGTGTTCATAGTTTGTAAAGGAATTTATCTTCATAAGGTCCGCATCAGGGTTGGGTCTTCCCATCCATGCTCCCTGAGTAAGCGATTGGCGTCTGCGCAGCGCCAGGAACTTCCTATGGCATTGGGAACAACAACTTTTGGCAACGAGTCTAGTGCTCAATTTGAACACATTTCACATTCTCTCCCAAGGAAAACTGTCCACTCTTTTTTCAAACATCTTAATAGCCCAGCTTTAATATTTTTTCATTTACAAAAAATTAACTTTTTCAGTTGCTAAATTCTCAATTTTTGTATATGTACATATAAGTATTTTCTAATTGCCGTCGCATTTTTCAAGGTACAGTTTACTCATTCGAATGTGTTTTCGGGCACAAAATATATTCCTCATAAAAATTCATCAGCCGCTCGAAGGGGCTTGGAATATACTGCGAGTCCTTTATTTGGTGCAAAACATTCGGACGTCCATTACAAAACGCAGAACTTCACTTTCTGACCTGTTCTAATCTGATGTGAGATTATATTGAGGTGTGACTGAGAGATTCCTAAAATGTGGTTGAATTTTTTTAAATCAAATAAGTTTATTAAAAGTGTTTAAAATTTTCACTTGCAGCGTTTTATGTGTGTATTGGTTATTCACACTTTGATGTTTTCATTGAGAAGCATTCGTACTTAGTGTAAATAGTAAGAACATTTTTAAATTCTAATTTCACAACATCAGACAGTTTCTCACATTCGAACCGAATTCACTTCATGAACTGAGGTTTTTGAATTAGCGACCAAGAAACCAATCTAAATGCTCTCATATCACAAACCGCATAGTTTTATCCAGTCTAAATCAACATCGATCGCAAGGATTCTACCCTAGAACATCCGGTCAGGCGATTTTAAGCTGGAAAACTGATTGGATTTGGAAGACTTTAACGCTCATCACGTTCCTACTAGATTTATGAGCAACAACCATAGCTCGCTTGATATCACAATTACTAGCGCTGGACTCACAAATGGCTTAACTTGGCGATTTATGCTAATGTACTCATCAGACCTTTTGTATATAATTGCATGTTAAAATGTGACCGCATTTAAAAAAGACTTTTTATATAATTGATAAGCCTCCTGGCTTAATTTTTTATGCTTTTCATGTACATGAAATACAAGCCCGTTTTGATAAGTAAGAAAATCGTTCGGTTTTCATCCAAGAGTTGGCGTTATTGTCCATAGTACTAGTGCTACGCGCCGCATCATGCTATACTATACAGCGCTGAAAACCTGTTTATTTGCGCTAAAAGTTTGTCCTGGACAGTTTTTCGATTGATTGACTCCGTACGTTGTGAGCGCTCGTCAAAGATGGACACCAGCAAAGAGAAAATTCGAAAAATTTTTCTTCGATCAAGGCGAATAAGCAACCAAAGCGGTTGAAAAAATGAATTTAGTTTATGGGCCCGATACTGTAAACGAACGTGTAATACAAAATTGGTTTGCTAGGTTCAGTTCCGGTAATTTCGATGTCAAAGATGCATCACGCGTCGGGAGGCCTGTCGTCGAAAATTGCGATGAAATCATAGAAATAGTGGAAACAGGCCGTCACGTGAGCACTTATTTAAATGCTGAGGAACTAAAGATAAGCCAGAAAACTATTTGGAACCATTTGCATAACAGTGAATTCAAAAAGAAGCTCGATGTGTGGGTGCCACACGAACCAACGCAAAAAACATGATGGACCGAGTTTCCATCTGCGAATCGCTGCTGAATCGCAACAAAAGCGACCCTGAAGCGAATTGTGACCCACGACAGCATTGAGCGCAAATGGTCATGGTCAAATCTCGGAGAAGCGCCCCAGACGGTGGCCAAGCCCGGATTGACGGCCATTAAGGTTTTGCTGTGTGTTTGGTGAGATTGTCAAGGAATCATTTACTATGAACTGCTTCCCTATGGCCAAACGCTCAATCGACGCCAAACGACCCTCTACTGCTAACAAATGGAACGCTTGAAGGCAGCACTCATCCAGAAGAGGCCATCTTTGATCAACAGAGGCCGAATTGTGTACCATCAGTACAACGTCTTTGGTAGCGCTCCAAGAGCTCGCATGGGTGGTCCTAATGCACACACCTTATAGTCCGGATCTGCCACCAAGTGATTACCATCTTTTCCTGTCCTTGGCGAACGCGCTTAATAGTGAGAAGTTGGCCTCAAGAGAGGCCTGTGAAAATTGGCTCTCCTAGTTTTTTGCCAATAGAGACGCAGCCTTCTACGAGAGAGATATAATGAAGTTGGCATCTCGTTAGCAACAAGTTTATGAGCAAATATTTGACTTAAATCGGAGAAATGTACACAAAATTAACATATTTTGAGAAATCAATTTAAAACCGTACGAACTTTTTACTTGACTTAATATACCGTAAGAGAACTGTGAAAAAGTTGCCTTTCAACTTTCTAAATGCTCGAATCACTTGATATAATTTATGAAGTTCAGAAGATTGATGATGCCTGTAGATGCAATACCTGCAATACAATGAAAGAAGATATTACCGAAAAAACTGAAACCAACTGATAGCTCCTTATGTGTAAATGTCACTGCAATTATCCTCCCAACACCATGTCTGGTTTTTATGCTGGTAGTTTGATCTCGATTAATTTCTTTTGTTCTTGCGCTGCCATCTAGCTTTCTAGAGTCTTGACTGATACTTTGTCGACGAAAAGTTTCGTGGGGTTATGACTGTTCCCTAGCCGTCCAGCCCATTAGGCCGCGCTGTTCATTGGTATGTCCAGGGATCCAAACGTTAGATAAAATAAAAAAAAATCCAGTTCGAAAATAATAAAAATAAAAAATGCCCCTTTTTTCCGAATTTCTTTATAAAAAAAAAAAGAACGAGCGATTTATTTGCTTATTTTTGCCGCCGATTGAAGCAAATATTTGAATACACCCATACATATAATTAATATTATAACATTTGCTTAGAAGCTAATCCCAAAAGTAATTAAAAATTCTCCAAGTTGAATATCTTATAAGTCGCAAAAACAAACAATTTTTAGCTTATACGTTTAGTGGTAAAAATTTCGAAGTAAAAATACCTTATAGAATTTTTGTATTATGACTATAACTGAGAAATTTATTTTAAAGATACAAATTAAAATCATCAGATATTGTCCATTTCACATAAAATCTGAATTCGATTTGTACAGGACGTTATAGTTTTGTTTTTATCCAATTTCACTATAATATTGAACTAAATAAGTGGTTTAATAACCAGATGAAGCCATTAAAACAAAGCTATCACTTTCAGAAAAGAAGAAATCAAAGCGAAGCCAGACATCGAGAATTTTGGTTGGTGAGTGCAGATTTTTCAACTTTTCCCGCTGCATAATTAACGAAGAGATTTGGGCGGACGAGAAAAGACTGAAAGTTTTCCAATATTTTTTCAGAGAAAAAGTCTCCCAAATTGACAAATATAATAAGAAAGTTCAAAGTTTAACTTATTCACCAAACTTCCTCTGTGTATTAGGATGACGAAAGTTTGATAAAATAATATAAAACAGCCATGCATGAGCGGATTCTTTTTATAGTTTGTGGCCACATGTTGAAAGTTTTGCCAAAGCGCCATTTCATGGTATACTCGTACGCCAATTTTTCACATACTTGAACGAGTTTGTTATATTTACACTTAGTAAAGTCAGCAGGTTGGGATAATATTAAATAGAGTTCGGTATCAAATGTTGTTTTAAACAGACATTACTAATACATATATACTAGGGGGTTAACAAAAGTTCATCGGTAAGTTGACCAGAAAAAAAACAACAAATTAGTTTTGTATTTATTCGTAGTCTTTGTCCTTTTTTATCTTCTCTACATGATCGCCATTGTTTTCGATGCATTTCTTTGGCGTATAGATCCTCTTCTGAAAACCGGTTATCAAGTTTAACATTAACCGCATTTATTATCTCCTCTTTGCTATTGAAGACCTTTACTTTAACATTTTTTTAAGTTTTTGCGAATAATCGGAAATCAGAAGGTGCTTTGTCCTGGAAATATGGAGCCGGATGTATTTCTTCGATCCCAGAGATCGCAATAAAATTACTCGTTATTTCAGCTGTGTGGGATGGCGCGTTGTTATGATGATAAAAGGAGGGCTCCAAATCATCTTTCTTTCTGTTTTCCAATAAATTTTTCAAAACTTTTGGTAAGCAGTCTTCGGTGCATCACTATGCAGTTACCGGCTGATCCTTTTCCAGTGGCATAGCAGACACAATTTTTGATTGGGTGAAGTAAACTCTTTTTGGGCCTCTTTTAAATTTCGTATTACCCATCAAGCAGATTTTTTCGTGTATCCTAGATGATTATTTAATATTCGCGATACATCCACAGCATTCAAGGCCAATTCGTTAACAATCATTTCGTGTGTTAGTCGTTGGTCTTCGTCATTTTTGGACTTTACCAGAGCTGCAGTGACGTCATCAGTGAAAGATTTTGGTCGACCTTCTCGGGAAACGTCGGAAAAATATACGGTCTTCGGAGCCATTAGGATTAAGAATTGTCTTTAGAAATGGTTCC